CAACACCTAACAAGCAAGGCAATGAATGCGAATGCTTCGATATCAGAGGTGAGCGAGCATACGCTGACTGCCACCTATTCTCAGTGCCCTCCGCTGATCCAACCAGAGGAAAACCAACCACCGACACCCCGCCACTACCTGCCCCGTCAAAGTCCTTGTCCCTCCACCGCCATTACATTCATCACCTCGCCATAGGTTCCAGCATACACTCCAGGCGCACATCCCTCATCCACCTTCGCCACCATGTCCCTTCCCCTGCCAAAGCCGAGGGCCAAATCATCCCAGCACCCGAGGCAGGTCAGCTCGTCCGGCGTCTACAACTCATTCTCTGCAAAACAGATCCAAGGTTTCAAGGAGGCCTTCAACATGATCGACCAGGACGGAGACGGAATCATCACCCAGCAGGACCTGGCCGGGATGCTGGACAACCTAGGTCAGCAGCCGACCCAGCAGCTCCTCGACTCGTACACCAACTCGTCCCTCGCATCCAAGTCCCAGTCCCAGTCCCAGTCCCAGTCCCAGTCCCAGTCCGGCATCAACTTCACCCAGTTCCTAACAATGTTCGGAGAGCACCTCAGCGAGCTCGACGAGGCATCCACTCTACTTGAGGCGTTCGAGTGCTTTGACGAGAGGGACCAGGGCGTTATCGACAGCGGCGAGATGAGGTACTGGCTCTCCGAAGTTGGAGACAGGATGAATGACAAGGAGGTCAGTATCGAGATTTCGATCCCATCCCATCCCATCCCATCTCTAGCTTCCGGTCCTGATCGCTGAGCTTTTCCATGATATGAACAACCTTTGATCTGAATCATCACCCCGACTCAATCTCACTCCCATCCGCCCAATTCAGATCGACCGCCTCCTATCGGGGCCCTTCACCGATCGAGGTGGCAAAAACTTCGACTACAAAGCATGTAAGCTTCCGCATCCCCAAAAGATTCTTGCGAGCGCACCCCACAATTGACTTTAACTTGCAACCCTTCGCTTTGACTTTGGACCACCCTCATAACCAAGTCGTCGAGGCCGTCAAAATGTCAGAGCCTGCCGAGATCGAATGAGGGTTCCCCTATCGGACTCAAAGGGTCTGAGCATTTGACCTCCCAGGTTTGGGATCCTCGTGTGAATCCTTTCAAGGATTCGAGCCTTCCCCCGCTGCTTGGTCTCGATCTTTTGTGCCTTGTTACCTGACGTGCCCTCTTACACCATTTCTCTTCGGAGGCACAGTCTTGTAACCTCTTCTTCCCTTCCTTCTTTGCCTTTCTTCTCGCAGTGACTTTCTAACCTTCTGAGGACCGCTTCCTCCCTCACCACCATCCCCCTTCTGATACCTGTACACTATGATCAATCGAACATTACCTGGCAAATTCAAGATTCAGATATCCTATTCCTTTTCAAGAAGTGAAAAACCAGTGGTGAGGCGAATCGAGTGAGCTCGGACCTGTTCACCTTTCGACCAAAGAAGTTTCGTTCCACCGAAGATGGTGAGGGGACAATCGGCAAGGATTCGGGGTGGGGATTTCCTCCGCTTTGATCCCTCCGATGTGAGACGTGTCAATTCCTTATCCTCTCCCAAGAAAAAAGTTTGAGTAGCTCGTCATCGTGCTGCCAAGTAGCTAGAGCGGCAGCAAGTTCTCTTCTCTACCAACCCCTTGGCAGTTGGGATCCTTTGTGAGTAGCAAGGTCTTGTCCCTCTTCATGACATTCATAGCATCGTGAAGGAGAGGGATTGGAATTCGCAAGGGCTTGAAAGAGAGCTTTGATAATTGGTGCTCTTAGCTGAATAGGGGATGGGGGGCTGATCAAGAGCATGGGTTATGGATCGGGCCCCCTCATTTCAATCCCTTCGCCTCTACAACCTATATCCTCCGCAGTTTGGGCCTGAGATTTCAAGTCCTTTTTCAGTATCAATCTTCTTCCATTCCTTCCTCTACCCTGTCCCATCAAATAGGAACGACCGAAGATTCCCAGGATTCCCGCTCGGAGCAGCTCTTCGCTTTGGACGCTTTCTCCCCGCAAATGGCTCCATAAGAAGCTATGGAAAGGTCAGAAAGGGACAAGTTTGCTCAACCTTGGACACTGTAAAAGACACGGAAAGAGGAAGGGAAGATTCGTGCTCGGACAGGGAAAAAAGTGCAAAGGGAAAGAAAAAGACCCTCTCCAATGTGAAAGACAAAGGCAGAACTACAAGAAGAGTCTTCTAGGCCTGTTTCACGGCTCACTTTCCCCTTGCAAAGACGAAAGTCTGAAGAGCAAAGCAATCCTGTCTGAGGTCAAGCTGAGCCCAGGGAGAAGCTCGCTTTTCTTGTCTTGTAGCTCTCGGTATGTCTCTCCCCAGCCACCCGAGGAAATGCTCTCCTAGAGCTGCAGCGTTATATCGTTTCCTCCTTCCTTTCAAAAGTTGCGTAAGCACACCAGGATCTCCCTCCATCCATCTATCCCTCTCCAACCCATACCTTTCTCTCCCTCTTTCTCCATTTTCCCTTCTTCTTCATTCTTCACCTCTCGTTCGGTTGCGACCTCCTCCTCCTAGCCATTTTCAAGTGCAGATGGAAAACGAAAGCGTTTGCGACGAAGGCATACAGAACGAAACTGGATCATGGTGTCTTATGAAACCTACTCTGACTTCGTAGATTTTGTCTACATTCTCGAAAAGGCTTCGGAAGTTGGGGATACGCAGGTGAAAGGCCATGGAAAGACAAAGGGCAAGGAATCATCGTCTGGCAGTAAAGGGCCAAAAGATGCAGCCCCTGGGAGTGAAAGAGGTGATGTAAGGAAAACAGTTCAAGGAGGAAGAGGCAGGAACAGCGGCAGTAGTAGCAGTAAGAGACGCACCGTCCATTTAGGGCATTCTAGAAAAGGATCAGCCTCTGGGGAGAGCAGTCTTTCAAAGAACTCCTCGTCGACAGTGAAGGCGACGATCACGTCAAAAATTGGCACCCCCAGCGATAGCAGCGAACGCAAGTTTCTCAGCATTTTCGACAAAGACAAGGACTCGTCGAAGTCATCGACGGATACGAAAGCTGCGAAGAGATTAAGCTACACAGGATCGATCTCATCTTCCACCTCCACAGTCTCAACCCGCGTGGACAATCAGACACTTGCTTCTCCTGCCTCGGGCGGCTTTGCAAGGGCAGGCTTCTACAAAAGAGACAAGCATGAGAGCGCGTCGGATGTCGATCTTCGGGGTGATAAAGGCAGCTTCTTAGCCAGAAGAAAAGACGAGGATCTCGCCCTTTCCGCTCAAGAGCAAAATCAAGAACATGGTCATGGTTTGAAGGCAACAGGTCAGCTTTCGGAGGATCGCGGCAAGACAAGCAGGGCCGATTCCAAGAACCGCCTGAGGGACCTGGTCAGAGGTCGATCTCATTGGGACCGCGAAGAAGTCGGAGTGGCTCCCGTCTCATCTGCTTCATCGCACGAAGAAGGTGCACGGGTGAAGATCCAAGGTCCCGCTCATCCCTGGGAGCCTACCCCGAGGGGCAGGAGCAAAGGTGCATGGGCTGTTTCAAATAAAATCCACTCACCAGTCACATCTCAAGGCACACCTGCGCCAGGTGGCCTTTTCATCTCGGAAATAATTCGAAACGGATTCGCCCAACACTCAGAAAAGCTGAAACCCATCGGTGGAATCTTTGAGGAAGTGGAGGAAGATCGATGCCGCGCTTACACCGAGGGTTCTGGTCACGATAAGCAAGAGGAGGAAGGAGCTGAGCATGATGCATCAAGTCATTGCGCCAAGGAGAGACTGGAGTTCTCCATCTTGGTCAAGTGGGATCACGTTTTCAAATTCACCGAGGATACCAACCAAGCGCGGAGGGAGAAAGAGTTCGGAGAGACGGAAGAAGCCCAGACAACAAGCTACCTAGAAATGCTCGGCATCGAGGGTAGCTGTGATGGTGAAGATACGGAGAGTGATATCACGTGCGGCACTGGGGACAGTGTTGAGTTTGGGAAGACCACATTCAGATTCAGCATCATCGAGCCTGAGCGGTCTACCCTTTCACCACTAAACCTCCAGCCACCGTCCCCTTTGAATCAAGTTCCAGTACCTTTCGCTAACGAAGACAGTATGATTATGCTGAATTCGACCCCAGAACCTGATCTTACCGAGCAGCATAGTGTTGGTTCGACTGAGGAAAGGCTCCAGGAAACGGGTAGATCAGAAAGGGGTCGTGGATCACTGCCATCTTCTCGCTCTCAACCCGTTTCAACTGCTCCCCAACCCCAAAGCTCGAAGTCGGCATCGTCCACCGGGGAATCATCAGTCTCGACAATGATATCAGGAGGCACGAGGAACCAGATTGTCGCTTCCTTCGACCTTCCATCTCCGAGCCCCTTTGAACCACCTCACCCAACCTTGCCAACGAAGTCCTCACCTGGCCTACAACATCCATTCAATTATGGATCAAGTCCGTTCAAATCCCAAACCGAACCCCAACCATTTAAACGCTTCGTGGAGACCGAGAAGGTGGAAAAGGGGGATGGGTCCGGCGAGAAAGAGGGGAGCTGCCTCAACGCGAGGAGGAATAGGTTGACCAAATCCATCTTGATCAATAATTTTCCCCCGCCACCGAGTCGGACCTGTTCCTCAACTACCAACTCTCCCACCCAGCCTCGACCTTCCCCCTCTTTGAATCGCTCGTCTTCGCTAAAATTCTGAGCCCAAATACGGTAAAGAAGGCAAGGCCGGAGCGGGAATCGAATAGGCCCTCCGACTCATGACAACGTTGGTCCCCTTGGCGTGGGCTCTCTTTCGCCCTTTTACGATTCCTTCATCACACTTTACTTTCCTTTATTCTATTTCGCGCTGCACCATAAACATGAGCCCCGATCACCATTAACGGCCCTGTCTTTCTCTGGGTCTTTCACTTTCATTTACTTAAATCTTGATGCCTCCTTGCTTCCACAGTGTGGTGGCGGAGGGGAAGATATCCAGGCAAACGTTCTCTACAGTTTGGAAATGCATTATACTTCGTAATGATTCAAACGTTGATAAGGAGTCCTTGTTAGTACAATGGCTAGTATAGGGCACTCTCATACCGCGTCCACGCTGAGAGCCTCTGCTCAGATCGGGGTTCAATTCCCCGGCAGGGAACTTTCTTTTTCTCTCCTTCCGTTTTGTGATCGGCAGGGGGCAACCAATTTTTCTTGATTTTTTTTGGCTTGATTCATTCCTTGACTCAAGCTGCAGTTGATCCGTTCCCAAATCTCAAACATGCTTGCGGCTGGCTGACGAGAGGATGAAGAAGTGGATGGTTGGGATGGCAAGTTGATGATGAAAAAAGTTGCTTGGACCGTGCCTGATCTGGATCAAGGCGAATTTCCTAAGTGCTCACTCGGTTCGGTTCGGTCTGCTTGTCTCTGTTGTTCATGGCAGACGCGAATTTGAGGCGACTTTAACCATCCGCTCTCAAGCCCTTTGACCAAAGTCGAGCCTCCCTCGACCTTTCCTTTGAACCACAGCTCTGCTAGTTGACCCTGCTCCACATCGTACCCGACGACGACAATGATACCGAGGTTTCTCCAGCTCTTCATACTAGCATCCCTCATCCTCCTCATTCCTTCCTTGCTCTACCTCTCCCACGGTCCAGACACGATCCTCATCGATCCAACGACGGGGAAAAAGTACTCGCCAGACTCGCTCATCACCCAGAAAGACGGTCGGATAGCCGATAACCCCTTGGCCCAACTGACGCAAGGTAACGGAGTGGAATTCTCCAGACCTCCGGATGACTCAAAGGGCAACACCGATGGTGGTGGTGGCATTGTTGGAGCCGCTTGGGGCTGGAAGAACTCTGTGGGGAACGCCGTCAAGAGACCGGTCGAGAAGGTCGAGGATGCATGGGCAAAGTGGGTGGGGGGTTTGAAGAGTGGGACCTCCTCCAAGGAAGCGCTGGACGAGGCTTTCAAGGACGCTAGTCAGGGCAAGGGAAAAGTTTCGGTCAGCGATGCTGAGGTTGGCTCCACCAACCCCGATGGAGAAGCGCCACTGGGGGGTGAAGTTATCATGTCAAAGATGGGGAACGCGACAGCAAAGTGAGTTTCCCAACTTCATTTCAGGGAGCTCTTCTCACAAAGATGAACCCCAACGAAGCAAGCTAAACCCTCCCCCCCCCCCCCCCCCCCCCCCCCCCCCCCCCCCCCACCCCCGGGGTTCACGTGCGTTGCCTTCCCTGCCCCGTCTTGGTGTTAAACCACCAGAGCCGCCCTCGGAAGGTCAACCTGGCACTTTCTTCACACCATGACCCTGAGATTCCCAGACAAACCCACCAAGGAACAATCCCAGACCCTCAAGACCTTTTTTCACCTCTTTGCTCAACTCTACCCTTGCGGAGATTGCGCCAGGCATTTTCAGAAGCTCTTGAAGGAGCTACCACCCCAGACCTCTTCGAGGATGAGTGCGGCACTGTGGCTCTGCAGTGCTCACAACATGGTGAATAAGAGGCTGGGCAAGGAAGAGTTCCCGTGCGACAAGCTCGACGAGAGCTACGACTGTGGTTGCGGTCCTGAGGATCCCAAGTCGACCGCCACCACCACCCCCACGACCACATCGACCGATCCAACTCCCGATCCGGCTTCATCCAGCGTGGTTCCAGATGGTTTCCACAGGCACGTCTGGAATGGACAAGGCGCGAAAAAGGCGAGGGGAGAGCAAACTTGGGATGATCGGCGGGTTCTGGAGGAGAGGTCTGGGCCTTCCTCTTCTTCCCCTTCTTCCTCTTCCAACACTTTCGAATTCGACATGACGGATGGTCTCGACTTGGGTCTGGATGATAGCAACTGCAGATGCTCGTTCAGGTGATATTCTGATTCGGGACTCAGCATATTCGCGAATAACAGAGTGTATAGATTGAGGGGCTCGGGTCCGCATAGAGCTCCCCTCCTCACTGGATCCAAAGCCAAAAAAGCCGACGTGGTCGGAAGGGGGGAGAAAGATTTCGAGTGAATGCGGACGGTCGGAGGGAGTTGGAAACGCTCCGAGTCCACACCCCTCCCCTGGTCCCTGGGTGGATCATACCAACCTTTCTCGTTCCATCCCTTGATGCATTTCTCCACACTCCTCTATCCTCTGCGGATAAACAGGAGGATTCTGCAGCAACTATGGCATTGAATCCACATACCCTCAGGGGAAGAAAAGGGAAAAAAAAGAAGCACAAAGAGAGAGAGAAACACACTCGTACTCTCATCTCCACCGTGACCGCCATTCACCCTCTACCAAGATTTAGAGATCTACTTCAGGTCCGTTCGTGCAATATAGTTCCAAGGGCTAGCGTTGATTTCCCAAGGACAATGTGACCGGTCGACGCTGAAGGAAGGGACGCTAGTGTTCCACCACTTCCTTGCTCGTACCCGCTCTTCTTCGACCTTTTTTCCCCTCTGGAGAGATGACCTGGAGTGGGGAGGTTCGCTTACACCCAGTAGGAATACCGTCGTATGTGATGCTTGGGCTCTTTAGCGACCTTCGAGAGGAAGCAAGGGAGGGAGAAGAAGGGAGTGGGGGGGGGGGGG